GCAAGGCGGTTCTCTTAGGGCATGCTGGACTTCATCCCGGACAACGCTGGACAACGAGGACGTAGTGGGTTCCGAGGGCACTGACAGCTTTTGGAGTTCATCGCAGATGACTGAACGTATGATCTCTCGGAAGAAATCCATTTGGCCACCGAAAGCTCCTAAGTAGTCTGTAGTTGAAGCGTTAACGTGCCGTTCGTATGACGGGGCCCGGTGCCTAAGAGTGCTTTCTATGGTGACGGCTTCCGTTAGAAATTCTGACACAGTCTTGGGTAGACTGCGTACAAGCCCACCGAAAAGCTGCTCTTTCACACCGCGCATGAGGTACCGTATCTACTTTTCTTCTGGCATGCCGGGGTTGGCTCGGTGGAAAAGGCGCGTCATTTCTTCGACATACATCGCAACCCCTTCGTTCGGCAATTGTATGCGGGACTGCAGATCGCGCTCTGCTCTCTCCCGACGGTCAGGGCTGGCATATGTTCCAAGAAGTCGGCGTTTGAAGTCTTCCCATGATGTGAGAATACCTGCCCGGTTCTCATACCAGACACGTGCGCCGTCCCAAAGACTAAAATAGACGTGCCGCAGTTTGTCCGCGTCGTTCCACTGGTTGTGCACGGCAACAAACTCGTAATAAACAAGCCGATCTTCTACATCCTCAAGTTCAGTGCCATGAAAGGGATTTCGCGTTCGCGGTGTGAGTAAGGTGCAATGAAGCGGCATTGTGCCGTTCGTACCAGTTGGGTTGGTGTCGGTAGGGCTGGTCGGAGCTGCCATGTTGTTTGCGAGCAGTCCAAACTCAGGGGATAGCCCTCGGATTCTTCTGCTGGCGCGATGCACAGGTGTGACTACCGGTACGATGCTTGTGTTCCTGCTATGTGTAGGGGTACGGTGCATAGATTACCCAGCATCTCCACCAGTTTGTCACGCACCAAGAGCCGTAGAGAGAAGACAGGAACAGCGGGGCAGAAAGACACGAGTGTGTATCTTCAGAACGAGGTGCTAACCACACTTCTTCTTCGTTCTCTTTGCCCTTTTAGCTCACTAGGGCTTGCCGGCTCACAGCTCTAGGTGGAAATACATACATACATATATATATATATATATATATATATATATATATATAAATATATATATATATATATTTATATATATATATATATATATATATATGTATATATATGAGATCTAACAGACAGTGATGCCAAGGAATGTACAGGGGAAGTTATTAGAACCAACGGAATGTAAATAAGAAGAAATAAAAGTGGATGAAAAAATAACCAGCCGTGGGCAGGAATCGAACCTACGACCGTCGAATAACGCGTTCGATGTTCTAACCACTGAGCTACCACAGCGGCCTTCCCTCCATCCACTTTTCTTTTTTAGAGTTTATATGTGACTTTAGAAGTAGGAGTGACAGTCAGCGCCATCTATAAGCCAAACGACGGGTGTGAAAACACTCTTATGCGCATGTTTGGCGTCACGTAGCACGTGAACTTATTATGAGCGGGCAGCTGATTAATTGTCCCTCTTATACAACCTAAACACACCAAGTCTGCCATTACGAGACCCTCGTTCAATGAAAATAAGGGAAAGAAGTGTATACCTAAGGGCTCGTTTTTCCGTGTCTTAATGCAACATTATTGAGATCTAACAGACAGTAATGCCAAGGAATGTACAGGGGAAGTTATTAGAACCAATGAAATGTAAGTAAGAAGAAAGAAAATTGGATGAAAAAATAACCAGCCGTGGGCAGGAATCGAACCTACGATATTCGAATAACGCGTTCGATGCTTTAACCACTGAGCTACCACAGCGGCCTTCCCTACACACTAAACAAAAATGACCTGAAATAACCTCAAAAACTGGTTAAACCATTTGTCCTCTAGCGCACTACCTTTCCTGGGTTTTTTTTACCACCTACTACCGAGGTAAAAATTTACTCTCGTGCTAACTGAGTTTTTGAACGTAGCGAGAGTAGTAATTATTTACCCAAGCGAGGTTTTCAGCGAGTATAGAGAGAGTAAAGTTTTACTACCTTCACAAAGGTTTTTGAGGTGATTACTGGGAGTTATTTCTGGTGGTAAAAAAAATAAAAATGACGGGTGCATTCGCCCAGAGTCGACAAATTTATTGAATAGCAGAATTGATTGAATTTATTGAACGGCAGAATTGGTGACACATACATTCACATACAGACAAACACGCACACAAAACAAATGCAGAATATTACACCACTAGCACAGACTGCACGCGTTGCTCAACTACACTTCGACAATCCGGTATATATATAGGCACGACTTTTTGACCGGCAATGTAGTACCGGTAGGAGAGCTCTTTTTTTGCATCGATTAACAACAACGCTTGAAGGTGCAAGCGTAAGCTTCAGGTGGACTGCAGGGCACTAAATGTCACACCAACCTTTTATTATAAATCTACACGATCTCACCTTTTTGATTATCCAATAATTGCTTGGCACACCGGGCTCTTTGCCCCACGCGTGTTAGCACTGCTGATGCACAAGTCCACCAAATATACCCAAGTACGCACAAAGCATGGTAGCTCAATGATTTTCATTCAGCGACGGTGCACAAACACAGTAGCAGCACGTATTCATCACAACGGGCGTAGAAGAGCGGTCCACGCCTGCATACAAGCTGCTTACCGACGGCGTTCTAGGCCTTTTTGAGGAGCACGGCTATCCGATAAAACACCGCTGGCGATCACAGAACACATATCCTGTGCGAACTTCGTCGTCATTTCAGACACAAATGAACACGTCACCGCCATCTTACGGGGACGGGGCGGTGTATGCACACTTCCAACGAAAGACCACCATCCGGGTTTTCTTCGTGCTCACGGGCAGCCTCTTGTTGTTTCCGTCTGCCTCGTATCGGCTTCGCGCTACATGTTTGAGAACAGTTGGTGCATCAGGTGGGCAATTCAAGCAGAACTTTACTCATGCAGACATCGCCTACTGCGGAACAAAATATATGCGATGCTTCTTTCACCTGCCCCGGCGACACACTCCCACTGGTCACTGGTGGCCACGGCTCGGTGACGACGACAGGATGAAGCATTTTGCTTATTGCTTCTCCAGCAGGCAAGCACGGACGATGACGCCAGATTGATTTTGTTACCACTGGCAGATCTTCACGATTCGGTTCGGAAGTGAGATATCCGCGACGTGCAGGTTCGGAGGCGCTCGGACGAGCACGGTCGCTCGGTGATGTAGGAAACACGTGAGATCCATCAGCCCAACGAGACACACAGATACCGAGCTTCTTGCACTGTCTGTCTCCAAAACCACCGCCGAGCAAAAGCAACATTTTGCGAAAATATGCAGGACAGCTTTCCACAGCAGGTTTTCTTTCTTTTTTTTTCTCTTTTGAGAGCCCCCCCCCCCCCCCCCGTCTTTTTTTTTCGTTCAAAGAATGCTGTTCTCGCTTGTTGTGCTTATGCTGCCCCCCGTTCCAGTAAAAGTGCGCTGACTCGAGGTCAGTCCAGAGGCATGGCGATGCAAAAAAAAAACAAAAAAACAAAAAAACATCTGTGGGCTTCGCGTACCTTCAGTATTCACTGAGAGCGTCACAAGGGGGGTATGGGGCAAAAGCCGCCGAAGCAGCTGCACCTTGCAGTAACGTGGTAATAAACTCTGAAACGCAGGTTAAAAATCACGTGATAGAATACTGCCTAAGTGGTAAAACTGGATTTTGACATCATTTTACTACTTGCCTGAGAGGTCGTGGTAAAACTATGTCATGTACCATCTTTTACTCCTACGCGAGGTAGTAATTTTAAAGCCGAGAGAGTTTTCAGAGGTCATGAGCCGGAAAAACCCCAAACTCGGATAGTTTTTGCTTACAGTGTACATCCACTTTTTTGGGGGGGTTTATATGTGAATTAGAAGTGGGAGTGACAGTCAGCGCCATCTATAAGCCAAACGACGAGTGTGAAAACACTCTTATGCGCATGTTTGGCATTACGTAGCACGTGAACCTATTATGAGCGGGCAGCTGATTAATTGTCCCTCTTACACTGTCTGTTATACCCGTGACACACGGGCAAAGGTAAAGTACTTTGAAGTAAACCCCTTTTGTCGCCTAAGGGGACCATTTGCAGAAAGGAGTAGCGCTGATGACACACGGCACCGGACTACTGCTTTAGGCAGTGCCTCAGAAGAACGCTGCAGAAAAAATGATGCTGTTTGTGGAAGGAGCAAGATTGGAAATATTAAAAAGAATCTGCGCATGTACATCACATTCAGTGACGCCGGAGCATGAAACCGTTTATTTTTTATTGTCTGGTGGCTTATAATGCGCATACCTGTAATTTTCTTTCGCTTTTTTGCGTTTTTAGCAGCAACTTAAGTTCGTCTGGCAACTATGAACAGTCGGTGTTTTGCTGTTTTTGTTTTTTTGTCGTGCTTTTTACATGGCTGCGTTCAGCTGGGTCAGTGACGGCGTGCCGCGTTTTCATCGTGGTCCAGCGATGTCTCAGCGCAGAGACAGAGCTAAAGCAACAGTTGAGGTAGGCCTGGCTCTTGTCGCCCTCGGCTCTATCGAAGATGAGCTAAACGCTGCGAAGGCAAGAGTAATGAGCCTAAAACAAAGACTCGTCATGAACAGCTTAATTTTGACTGCTTCCGCACTGTCTCCCCGAGCCATCAACCGCGAAAGGTGGGCCTATGTGCGCAATGAACGCTGGTTCGAAGACACATTGCCGTTATTAGGTTACGGCCACTTTAAGCAGTGTTTTCGAGTGAGCCCAGCCACCTTCCGTTTCATTGTGGACAGCCTACGCCCTTCGCTAGAGAGGGTCACAACTAATATGCGCGAGTGCATTGTGGTTGAAAAGGTGGTGGCCATCGGCTTATTCAAACTGTGCTCCGTGGCAGAGGACCGATTCGTAGCCAGTGTCTTCGGCTCGGGTGATCCACGGTGAACGGTATTTACAAGGAATTTTGCGAAGCCATCGTTTCTGTCTTGGAAAGCGACTGGATCAAGATGCTGAGTTCATCTGAGATGGCCGAACACATTCGGGAATTCATGGCCGTCAGTGACTTTCCCCAAGCTGTAGGAGCCCTCGACGGCTGCCACTTCCCAGTTTCGCCGCCACAAGAACATGCCACTGATTACTATAAATACAAGGGGTGGTAAGTTGATTTGGCTACTTTGGTAATTAACGTTCGCGTGTAAGGCATCGCACCTAAACGTTCGAGAAATACGCATGGGAACATGTGAAACATCCGCATGTGAACCATTCCTTGTGTGCCAAATATAAGTTACAAGCTACCTATATGACTCACAAATTGGTCTCCAGCAACGTCAGTTTCTCCCTAGAATGTGCAGCCGCGCATGTTTCTTGCAATTACAGGGATCCAATGAAGAAGTCCTCGCTACGAGATTTCGAGAAAACAACAAAGTCTACCCAGAAAAAAACTTACTTGTGCACGCAAGTAAGTGTCGTCAAACGAGAAGCTTGTTGCAAATCACATTTGAGGCCTTGAAGCCGCTGAAATATTCTCATAATTAGAGACATCAAATGAGAATTGGCAATAGTACCATGCAAAAGCCGTAAAACGCTGCGAAGCGTTATAGTAAACAAGACGAGCATAAGTTGTGATCAAGATAGTTTACCCGATGTATGTACTGCTATCTATGTGTGTATACGACTTCCACCTCTGAATGGTCTAACGTGCCCATTTTTTCACCCTTGTGCCTTGGCAATCTGTTCATTATTTGTTCTCACCACATTGATATATTTATGTCAATATCACTAGCATTTTTTAAACCAGAGAGGTGTTCTTACCGACTTTGACTCTTGTGTTAATTTTTACAGGTACAGCATTATTCTCCTGGCGCTTGTAGACCACAAGTACCGTTTCAGGTTTATAAATGTTAGTGCCCCTGGAAGATGCCACGACTCTCATGTGTATCAAATGTCGAGCCTCTCCGGCATGGTTGAGGGACCACTTTTCAAGGCTCCAGTTGTTACAATAGAAGGCGCTGCCGTGCCCCCTCTGGTGCTCTGTGACCAGGCCTTCCCACTTACACCTAACCTCATCAAGTCATTTGGACACAACACCCCACTTAGTGCAGAGCAGAAAAAATTCAATTACCACATCAGCAGAGTGGGACGTGTGGTAGAAAACGGCTTTGGAAGGCTTAAGGCAAGATTTCGCTTCACATTGAAGCGAATGGAATGCGACATTGCAAATGCTCGCCTCGTGATTTGCGCATGCTGCGTGCTCAACAACATTTGCGAGCATTTCGGCGATGCTGTTCAGCTTCAATGGCTCCAGGAAGTGAAGCAGTCCGACTCCCAACTGCCCCAACCAGGACGTAGCAGCGATTCACAGATTGGGAATGCAGTCAGTGTGCGTTCTGCACTTGCGGAACACTTCAACCAGAGGATGCAGACCCAGGCAGCCCGCTCCTAGAATTTTTTTGCGCTGGCATTTGTAAATAAAAAGAGTGACAGTTTTTCTGCCTCATGTTTTGTTGATGAAACCAACGAGGGCATTTACAAGCTTTTCTTGAAGCTGGAGGTGTTTAGATCTTAGCTCAACCTCGGTTTGCTGAGCCCGCTCCAGCTGCTCTCGTAGCATTTTTTGTTCAGCCAGCATAGCTTCTTGAAATTCACGCGCTGCGCTCAGTGGCCGCCGTCGCTTCCTTGCTGCCCGTGCTGCCGAACTTGTTGCAGGACTCGGAGTCGACTGCGTGGTAGGTTGTTGTTCCTGGAACTGGCGTGCTGTCAGTTTCAGTAGCCTCGGAACTGACTCCGCTCTCCATTTCGTAGATCAGCTGCGAATATTTAAGAGAAAACAGCTACAAAGATCATACAAAAAAAGAAAAATTGATCTGAGAGGCAGCACACCACAATCGTACCTCTTATAATTACATTGATGAAATGAACAGCACAAACGGGGATAAACTTTCATGATGCTGGTCAACATTGAACGATGCTGCATATTCAGGCTGAGGTCATACAAATGGTACGTAGACTAGTTTAGAATATCATTAGCAGAATTATGCGACTTGCAGCGCATGTAACCAAATGATCTGGAAGCATTGGCGCATATGCAATCAATGTGAGTGGATCACGAAACGGTAGAATTTAGGTAAACACCAAGATATATTTATCGTGTATCATGTATATATTTGTGTTGTTTATATGGTACAAAAAGGTAGATGCAGTACGTTTGCGGCTAAAACAGACAATTTTACATTCAGAAACGTTAAGCTTCATTAGACAATTACACACCAAACAGGAACAAGTTCTAGATGTCGGTGGAAGACTTGATCATCGTTAGCCTTATAGAACGATAGAGAATGCAGTCACATGCGAAAATGTTCATGTGTGAGTAAATATTGCTCGGTAAGACATTAATGTACATAAGCCATGATACATGATGTTATATATTTTCAGGTAAATAGAAAACTTCTGCGAGTCCAATTAGTTCAAAACATCAGCTTATACAATAATACCGGTGTAAGTGCACTAGTACTTGTATTGATTGCAGGGAAAGTGCACAATGGTGATTTGTTCGTTACACACCTTCTCAACAGTGTCGCTACTGGTGTCGCAGCAGCTTTCCTCCATGAGGCATGGATCATTTATTGGTAGGCAGCCAATGAACCTCTTCAGTTCACCATAGTATGGCCACGTTGGTGGTGAGGAGCCTGTTGTGAGCTCTCGCTCAATTTTTCTAAGAAAAAAAGATCGCAGTCGCTTTCAGTTATCAAGCAACATAGGAAGGCCCCATTATATTATGACCAGCACAGAAACATATAAATACAACCTATGCAAACTTTTCATAATTTTGTTGCTACCTTCGCTTACAGGTGGTACAATACAGTTGGCACCTAGCAACATGCTTCGTACACGACTCAGGGCACCGATCTTGAAAATTCGGCCTGAGCGGTACAATGTTTGGTTACTTCTCAAGCATAAACACTCATGTGACTCGAGGCGGGGTAAAGGCTGGAACCCAGTTTCCGTCGCAGAGAGACACTTGTACCGCTTCTTACGAAGTGAACACGTTTAATTTACATACTTATACGTTTTTTTTTCAAAAAAAGAGCGCAGAGACGCGCCTTCACATGACAAGAGTGTGCCAGCAAAGGTCAGAGAAAGCCGAGCGCACACCCGACGCGCTTATCACCAAGTGTTTTTGTGGGACGCGGACCGCACATGGTAGGGACGCCATTGAGTATCTGTTGCCGCGTACTCGCAGGTACCGTGGAGTCCAGCGTTCCTCGATATGCGAGGTGCCCATGCATGTCGGATTTTACAGGCCCGATCTTAACACACACTAAACAAGCAAGCAGGACGCGCGCGACAACGTGTAGCGTGTGTGACCGTCTTACCTGAATGTCTGTGTCAAGTTGTCAATTTTGCTGTGAACTTGCGCCCATGTACGGGGAATACCGGCGTCGGTGAGGCTCTCGGCAATCGCCTGGTACACTCCAACGTTGTGCTTTTGCCCTCGGAAGGCGTCCAAATGGTCCTCCCATAGCTTTATCAGCGCCCAGGTCTCCTTTTCAGTCCACTGGATGCGTGGTTTTTAGATGCGGAGCATCTAATACTCGAGGCTTGTAGTGCGGCGCCGTCCGCAAGCTTCCTCCTCCTTCTTCCACCGCCTGTGCATCCCTTCGTCCTCTCCACACCGCGCGCGCTTCTCTTCTCCACCATCTGTGCAACCTTCCTCCTCTACACACCACGTGTGCTTCTCCTCTTCACGAACATTCGCCAGCTGTATGATGATGCGCGCATGTGCCGTCGCGCTTCGAGAACATCGGCAGCTGACGCGCGCGCATGCGCCGCCGCGCTTCTCCCCTTCGATAACCTTCGAGTACATTCTCCATCTTACGCGCGCGCATGCGCTGTCGCGCTTCGAGAACATGGGCAGCTGACGCGCGCGCATGCGCCGTTGCACTTCTCCCCCTTCTCGAACATTCGACAGCTGACGCGCGAATGCGCCGTCGCGCCGTCGCCCACCATCTGTGCCGCGCGCGCTTCTCCCCTTCGAGAACAATCCACAATTCTCCAGATTCTCCAGCGGACGCGCATGCGCCGTCGCGCTTCGCGAACATTCGACAGCTGACGCGCGCATGCGCGTCAGCTGTCGGTTGGTTTGTACGGCGCGTCGGTTGGTTTGTACGGCGCGTCGACGTCCGAGGTGGCGGTGAAATGAATGCCGACGAATCCACAAATACAATGATCGACGTCTCTTCGACCAGCGCCGCCCTTTCGCATACGTGTCGTACGTGTTCACTCATTTAACACCCCCTCCTACAACCACGTTAACCAATATAGCCATCGACCCAAATAAGTCGCAATTTAACACCCCATTTCACAACCACGTTAACCAATTTAGCCATCGACCCAAGTAAGTCACACTTTAACACCCCGGTAACCAATTATATGCTCCGCATCCTCCTCAGTGTTCCCTCGAGGGAAGCTGCGGGCAATCCTTTTCTTTACCGACTGAGCCGACTCCATTGTTGCAAAATACTACGTCCCCGACACAGCAACTGCCACTGCCAACACTAACATGATCGCGCTAGTGACGTAATACAGGCGTTTGAGAGTATGGACAGACTATAAGCCTTCACTTTTCAACAAATCGCACTGCTGCTGAAAATGAAAACATTTTCTCAGCGCAAAAAAATACTGCCAGAGCACCGCAGTGTTGCGACACGTTTTCTTTTATTGATAAATTATGCACACAGTATGCGAGAGTACTCCCTTCCTGCCAGAAAAGTAGATGCGGGATCTGCTTTTGCGGAAAGGATCTTTGCCGGAGATGAGTTACTCCTTTGTCGTGTGTCACTGCGCCCGAACGCCTTTCCGAAAGATGTCCCCTTGTCTAAGGGACTTCAAGGTACCCGTGTGTCAGGGGCATTACTGTCTGTTAGAACTCATTAATGTTGTGTTAAGTCACAGAAAAACGAGCCCTTAGGTATACACTTCTTTCCCTTATTTTCATTGAACGAGGGTCTCGTAATGGCAGACTTGGTGTGTTTAGGTTCTATGAGAGGGACAATCAATCAGCTGCCCACTCATACTAAGTTCACGTGCTACGTGACGCCAAACATGCGCATAAGAGTGTTTTCACACTCGTCGTTTGGCTTATAGATGGCGCTGACTGTCACTCCTACTTCTAAATTCACATATAAACCCCCCAAAAAAAGTGAATGGAGGGAAGACCACTGTGGTAGCTCAGTAATTAGAGCATCGAACGCGTTATTCGAAGGTCGTAAGTTCGATTCCTGCCCGCGGCTGGTTATTTTTTCATCCACTTTTCTTTCTTCTTATTTACATTCCATTGGTTCTAATAACCTCCCCTGTACATTCCTAGGCATTACTGTCTGTTAGATCTCATTATTGTTGTGTTAAGACACGAAAAAACGAGCCCTTAAGTATACACTTCTTTCCCTTATTTTCATTGAACGATGGTCTCGTAATGGCAGACTTGGTGTGCTTAGGTTGTATGAGAGGGACAATTAATCAGCTGCCCGCTCATAATAAGTTCACCTGCTACGTGACGCCAAAAATGCGCATAAGAGTGTTTTCACACCCGTCGTTTGGCTTATAGATGGCGCTGACTGTCACTCCTACTTCTAAATTCACATATAAACCCCCCAAAAAAGTGGATAGAGGGAAGGCCGCTGTGGTAGCACAGTGGTTAGAGCATCGAACGCGTTATTCGAAGGTCGTAGGTTTGATTCCTGCCCAGGGCAGGTTATTTTTTCATTGACTTTTCTTTCTTCCTAATTACATTTCAGTTGTTCTAATAACTTCCCCTGTGCATTCCTTGGCATTACTGCCTGTTAGATCTCATTAATGTTGTGTTAAGACACGGAAAAACGAGCCCTTAGGTATACACTTCTTTCTCTTATTACATATATATATATCTATATATATATATATATATATATATATATATATAATGTAGGAATACTCTTAGACGCCACGCCAGGCTGATGCAACCGTTTAATGGGCGGAACAGCAGTGAGACAACAGCCAACGGTTTCAGGAGCAGCACGAGCCTTTGCCACAACAAACGTCTTCTTCGTCTTATCTAGCAAGCCTGTATTTTTGTGACTACATTGATTCCCCGGTGCAAAAGGAGCCATCGTGGCAACCTATGGCAAAGACACGACTGGTTGGTGGTAGTGAAGTTTTATACGATCGACGTGCACAGTTTCACGCCCGCAGCGCGGTTGATCTGTAGGTGGCTGAATAAGTTCAACCATGTAGTTGACTGGTGATGTCTGGTGCAAGATCCTGTATGGTCCGTCATACTTGGGTGTGAACTTTGAGCAAAGGCCTGAGCCAGACAGTGGCACGCGGAGCTACACGATTGTTTCAGGCGCGTATGACGATGGAGATGAGTGTTGGTCATGGGAGTCTTTCTGGCGAGCCTGGTCGTGC